ATATATGATTATATAACGATTATATATACATACATTGTATACAGGGACATGGCTGTTAATTGGAGACAGTCAGGACCCAGTTTGGCGATGGTCATCATTCAATGTATTGAGTACTTCTGGCAATAGGACGCCTAGAGGACCTCTATCATCACTACAGGAAGGATTGCTTAGAACCTGCGGGAATAGTTTACCAAATCCACGATTACCGCATAGTGCACCAAGCGTGGTTTCTTATTTGGAACAGCAATTACTCGCATCTAAAGCACTTGGAAGTGCTCAAGAGTACATTCATTGGCTTATGGCTTTGGTGTCATTCTTATTAACGCAAGGTACGCTATGCAATTTATATTTTACTCTCGTGTATTTTTTACAATATGAAACATGGATTTCCGAAACGGATTACTGTTCACCTCATACTTTTTCATTAACAATCTTTAATTCTCCTCATCAATCTCGTATAAAATTGAGATATACATAGATGAGACTCGATATTGAATTTGAAATTCGTTGATTATGAGTCGACTACTCTTATACGAAGTAATGCATCGTTCTCTCTCTTTCTAATATCTTTTAGACGGTTTGGAGAAACGTCTAAGGCTAATTTTGGACGATCTTTTGGGCCCAAGTCATACGTCAGCTTCCAAAAGTGCATGGGACCCTGTTATTTTGGTAATACTACTTATATTCGTCATTAGTTTTATCATTTTTAAATGATTAATTTAAATTTTAAATGATTAATTAAATGATTAATTTGATTGTATAATATTTATTTTTCCATGTCAAAATATCATATAGGGAATAAAGAAACATAAACTTCTGGGTGATGTATTGGCTGTAATTGGTGGCCATCTTCGTTGGCAAAGATTATACCTCGAGTATTCGGAGCAATTAACGACACTGAAGAATCAAACTAATTAACGTAATTTATTCAACAGTGCAAATTCATTATACCAAAAGCAAGTAATCTTTTCTTACGAATATCTTGTATATTTCTAAAGATATCTGTATGAATATATATTAAGATTGTACAGTTTTTATAACATTTACGACTTGACACAAATGTATGATAACGAGTAAACAATTTTTAGTATATTAGCATTTATTATGAAAAAAGAAAATTATTTCATTTCCCTTGTCGATAATACTATTTAACGGATGAATTATTTCAGAAAAGTAATATGGATGCAGATAATGTAATAGATTATAGATAAATTCATAATATATTGATAGATCAAAATCTTTTTTAAATTTTTTTTCTATAAACTATTCATTTTATCATAACATGTAATTTTAATAATTTTAGAAATCAAAAATTAATTTTTACTAATTTTTAGTTTATAATTATTGAAATGAATTAAATTAAATTTAATGGATAGGATAAATACTAGATTATTTCATAAATAAATTACTATTTCATAATCAACTTATATTTATTGTTTGATCTTAGAGTATTCAAGTGCAATTTACACTTTATACAAGCAATAAATTAGATTAAGTAATCAATTATCACAACTAGCATTTGCTCTGCTGATATTATATATTCCAATTCTTAATTTACATTTTCTAAATCGTAAAATTATTCGATGCAAAACATAAGAGTGTATCAATGATCTCAATTTTTGACATATATAACTGACAAAATTATTTTAATATTTGAAGTTGGATGTACATATGCAAATGAACAACGAATATCAAATTGGACATTTTACTGCTAAAACTTACAAATACATACTGTAACAAATAGAATATTACAATATTCAATTTGCTTGTAAAAATGAATCCAGATTAGACAAAGTCCAAACATGAATATACGTTCTATTTCTTATCAGTAAATTAAAAGGAAAACGTTATGCTTTTTTTATTGTTGATCCTTATTAGTTTCGTATGGATCCATTAATACGTGATATCTTCTATAGTTCCCTGTACCCCCAGTGACTACAAAGGACAAATTAGATTATAATAAAAAAAAACATGCAGTAATCGTCAGACATCTTTATCGTAGTTGCATTGCACATGCAGAAAATACCAAATTTATCTAAATATTTATTACAAACATGAAAAAAATCAGCACAGGAAATGAAATATTCACATTGTTCATTTAATGTACATCCACTATAACTGATTTATACACAAAAGTGTACAATCAAATCTTTGTTTAAATCGGTCTTATCTGCAGACTCTCTAACTTTAATTATTATTTTCTGTGTGATACAAAGATGACAAAAAGTCCTCGTAGTGTTGCATGTTTGTCTCAAATGTTTCCAATTGTTTAGTGAGATCTCCCAATTGTTCCGCAAGTGTCCTTTCTTCCATAAAGGCTTGCAATTGTGGAGCGCTTTGACACTCTCGATAAAACGCTCCTACATCGCTATTGGTATTCGTGACAGCGAATGGAGTTTTCTGTAACAATATTTGAAATTTGTTTCGTACACAAATACAGTATAAAATTTGCCCAAGTTATGAGAATAAAAATATTTTTCGATATTTAAACAAAATATATAAATATAAAAAATTCTAAAATAATAATCTTTATATATTAATT